GAAAAAAGAACATTGTTGGAATAATATTATATTATTAATATTAAATGAATGAGTTATTAATATTACTGTTAATATAGTTAAACCTAATAATAATTCATATGATACTAATTGAGCTGTAGCCCTTAGACTACCCATTAAAGAATATTTAGAATTTCCTGACCAACCAGCTAAAATTATACCAACTACACCTATAGAAGAAATAGCCAATATATACACTAGACCTAATTCCATATCTGATATTTGATAACCTCTACTAAATGGTATTGGTGCCCAACCTAATAAATTCATTGTAAATATTATTATTGGAGCTACTAATAAAAGAAATTTATTACTTTGAGAAGGTAATATCGTTTCTTTTAATAATAATTTTATACCATCACCTATTGGTTGTAAAAATCCGAATAGCAAATCTCTTCTTTTAGCCATTCATTTACTAATTTGTAATAATACAGGCAAAGTTAGAAGACTTCTCCCTAAATAGTAATATTTACTATCCATTTAACAGATACCGTTCTATGAACTATATCCTGTACTCTTTCAAGTAAGGTTTGATTATATCTTAAGCGTAATATAATTTTGTATTTACGCCAACCAACATTTAATCGATGAACTGCACACGATCTATTATCGTGCTTGGCTGCGGATTACCTATTTCCTTTCGTACATCTATTTTGATTTTACTATACCACGAGTCATTACCTGTGCCACAAAATATGTTACCATTTTTGTTTAGTTAAAATAGCTTTAAGGTTTTCCCGCAATTTGATGATTTATTGCAGAAGGTTTACTTCCACATTAGGCCAAAGAAGCTTTCTTAATTCTTCTCTTTCAAAACATAAAATAATTTTTATATCTTAAAAATTATTAAATCCATCTTGCCCTCCCCACTCTTCAAGGAGAAAATTGGTAATTTTTATAATATTTATTCGAATCCACATATATATATGTTGATACTATTTTATGACTTATATCCCATTTCATGGATAATTTTATTTATAATAAAATCTATTATTTAATGTTTGTAATTGAAATCGACCTACTTTATTTGGACCTACTCTTCTTTGCATTGAACCCATAACTTTTCTTTCAGCTAAAGTTAAAAATGCAATAGCTAATAAAATAGGAAATATTAAAAATAATATTTCAATAAAAATTGTTAACATAATTAAAAAAT